TTTTGAATGAGGCAAGATTATGAAAATTTATTTGGTCTTTGTCTCTAGTTCCTGGCACAGTTTCAAAAACCCTTGGAATTTCCTGAGTTGTAAGATAGACCGAGGGTACGACCAAGGCTCTGCAACCTCCCTCAGGAGACTCCAAGGAACCAGCACAAAGACAGGGACATCTCAATTATGCCAAGAGGAAGAAGCCAGAAAGAAAAACAGAGAAAGAAGGAAAGAAAACTGTATTGCTCCCTGCATACAAAAAAGTCTAGGAAGTATAAACTAATCAGAACAGACAGCAAGGCAGTGGTTGCTTGGGGGATGGGGAGACAGGAAAGGAGGGGAGGGATAACCTAGGAGCATGAGGAAATTCTGGAGGGTGAAGGACATGTTTACTATCTTGATTATGATGATGGCTTCCTGGACACACACATGTCAAAACACATCAAATATGCTTAAAATATGTGCAATTTCTAATGTGTCAATTACACTCAATTCCACTTGAATTTATTTTTTAAAACCAGTACCTGCAAAGCCTCCTGGTCTGGTGGGGCCTGCCCCGGCCTGCGGTACATGCTCAGCATTTCCTGCAGCACCTTCACATGGCTCCGTACCTCCTCCACGGCACTGACTCTCTTGGACACCTTCTCAGATTTCTCTTGTTCCTTTTAGAAGAGAGAGAATGGAGGTGAGGGAGCAGAAGCCCTAGATAATGCCTGAGCGAGGGATGGGAAGGAGGCACTGCACTGGCGAGCTCAGGAAAGTCACTAGAACACTGAGTGGGCAGGAGTGTTCACTCAGTGGCGAAGAAAACACTCTGAGCCCAGAATTCCTGCAAAAGGCAGTGCAGTCCAGGGACCAGGGGATCTACTGCTTCATACCACCAGCTTTAATCCCTCTGAAAACCAGATTCCCAAACTGGACTCTATCACTGGGACAGAAACTAGGGTCTATGAAATGCTTTGGGCTCTTGCATAGAAATACTTAGGAAGTACACAGCATGATTTCCTCTTCCGGTCACCATCCTGCTGCCCTTCAGGGAGCCCGCAACTGTGCCCCCATTCTGGGCCCAGAGGCCATCCCTTTCCCCGGCCAACTGTGCACCGACGCCCTCCAGCACATACACGCGTGTGTCAAACGCTGGTTCTGCAGAGCCCAGTGGAAAAATGCCCACCTCCTTGACCAAGTTCTTGATCAGCCTGTTTGCAGCCTGAAGATCCTCCGGGTGGTTGCTCTTCAGAAGCCTCGTCAGAAGCTGCAGAGTGAACAAGAAGAGCAGGTGGCTTCCTCTCCCCCCCCACCCCGTGTCAAATGGCCCACAGCAGCAGCAGGAGAATACGGATAACAGCTCCTCACTTTCCATGCGTTCTCCTACCAAGTCTCACAGTGAGGCCATGGAGGTATTAGGACTCTCCCCACAGACCACTGGTTTTCAACGGGGTAGGAAGGTGGAGGAGATAGCCCCCAGGAGACATCTGGCAAAGCCTGGAGACCTTTCTGATTGTCACAACTGAGGTGCTACCAGCATCTAGCAGGTAGAGGCCACGACACTATAAACTCCCTACAGTCAACAGGACAGCCCCCAACAAAATCATCTGGCCCAAAATGTCACTGCTGAGGCTGTCCTGGGCCAGACACCCTCCGATGTGACACACCTCGGTGATCTAGCAGAACGCCGTGCCCATGGGAGTCACTCAAGTCTTCACTGATGGCAGTAGAGATGGCTATACTGAAGCCCAGAGCGTCTCAGTAGCTTGCCCCCGGTGACACAGGACTCTTTCTCCAAAGGCCATGCCCTTCTTCCTCTTCCCACCCACTGTAAGGCACCAGGAGAGGAGCCAGAGAGAAAGGCAGCCCAGAATCCAGCATAGTCCGGCTCGTTCTGACACCACGGCCACTGAACCTCTAGGCCCAAGGGAAGGGTGCAGCTGAGGGGTGCAGTTAGAGGCAGAGGGTCCCCAAGCCAGACTCCTACACCGCCTGCAGCTTCCCTGGTACTCATTTCCTAGACCCTGTGAGTGACCAAGAATAGTAATGTCCAAAAGCACAGCCACCACCAGTGCTCAAGGGCCCTCTCCCCATTCAGAGGCACTCTACAGTTATCCCTAGGTCTTTGTCCCTCTCCTTCCTGATGTCTGAGGAGCAACAATTATGGGAGACAGTAGCAGAAAGAATACAGGTAGGATCAGGCTTACTGGCACTAAAAAAAAAAAAAAAATTTGAGCCAAAATACAACCAATTCTTTCCACCATCTTCCCCTAATACCACACATACACTGGATATGACTGAGCATCCACCTCACCCACTGGGGTTATCTTTTTGTACCTTCTTTCCCTCAGGAACGCTTGTACAGTAAGGTGGAGGGTACAAAGAACATAGCATTTACTATTTGGCTCATCCATGAAGAAAACATCCAGACCTTATGCTACTTAACTCTAAGAGCCTGCTCCAGAGAGAACTCACTAACCCACCTCCCCACATTCCCCCCAACTTTGCTTCAGGGATCAGAGAACACCCCAGGGGATATTTCAGGAGAGTCACTAAAAGAAGGGGTCAGATCAGATTCTACGTCGGCCACCAAGGTCAGGAAGGGGCTCTTTACCTTGGACTTTTCTTCATCGGCATCGAAGATAGAGCTCTTGGGCCAGGGAGAAGGTGGAGGCAAAATTTTATCCATTGGTAGTTTAGGGTCTTGCTTTACGATTCCTAAAACACAATTCGTGAAGTTAAGATACGGCTAAGGGTAGCCACTGACTTTAGTAGGATGCAGCATCAAGTCCAGAAACTCCTAGTTCCTGATGTCCCACTGGGAAAACACTATCAATGACCTTAAAGGGATAGACCGAGGGTACGACCAAGGCTCTGCAACCTCCCTCAGGAGACTCCAAGGAACCAGCACAAAGACAGGGACATCAGAATCAACCGAGATCAGCACCAGATCTTAGGGCTTGTGGGCCATGGGCCTCATGCTATAAAAACATTGATTGTTACATACAGGTACATAACCTCCCAGGGCCCAGAAGTTACTGTAGGATCCACGACCCTCCCAACAACAGTGAGTACATGTGGCGGGGAAAAACAGTCCATCCTGAATCCAGGTCCCTTCTTCTACAGAGTTCTACGGACTCCCAGCTTCCACACAGGACGCAGAAAGGCATGAACTGCATGACTCCAACCCCGACTACACGACACTGGACAACCTACAAATCCACCACTTTTCCTGAATCCATCAGAGTGTGGAGACCACAAGGCAAAAAATCTAAGGAAAGGCAGGGCCTCTGAGGAAAAACGGAAGGCAACACCAAGGCGGATAATTCAGATAAACTTGTTTCTAAATTGTTTACAGGCTTGGACGCCTGGGTGGCTCAGTTGGTTAAGCGACTGCCTTCGGCTCAGGTCATGATCCTGGAGTCCCGGGATCGAGTCCCATATCGGGCTCCTTGCTCAGCAGGGGGTCTGCTTCTCCCTCTGACCCTCCCCCCTCTCATGTGCTCTCTCTCT